TGCCACTACGGTATGTATGTGGGGGGAGGGCGACCCCTGCTGCCAGGCCCCCCAGCCATTCCAGGCCCCGCGGACTCCCATCAATATAGGGGACCATCTCGTCCATAGGACGGTCGGGGTGCCCCCGAAGCACGGGGCTTAAAGCAGCTGCCTTGAACCATCCTATGGAAAGGACGGCTCTGCTGCAAAGAGAGACAGTTGCAGGGTACGGTATGTATGTGGGGGGAGGGCGACCCCTGCTGCCAGGCCCCCCAGCCATTCCAGGCCCCGCGGACTCCCATCAATATAGGGGACCATCTCGTCCATAGGACGGTCGGGGTGCCCCCGAAGCACGGGGCTTAAAGCAGCTGCCTTGAACCATCCTATGGAAAGGACGGCTCTGCTGCAAAGAGAGACAGTTGCAGGGCAAACTTTCCCCTTTTCCACACCCTGTCTCCTACCCTAACCATTAGTAGCGGAAGTTCAGGGGAATGATTCCCATTCAGCCCAGTCTGCTCTCCTGCCCTCAATGGGGCTGGAGTGCCCAGTGGGTAGAGTGGGCTTTGTCCAATGTGTGCCAGCCCAATTAGACCCAGCCAGCCCCTTTCACAAGCAGCTGTCAGGCAGGGGTGCTGCTTGGTGGTTACTAAGCTGCACTGGGCGCAAATCAACACTGATTTAAGGTGACTTGTTCAAGCCACCCAGGGCTTTGTTCTTTCAAAACAATGTCAGTGGGAGTCATCTTGTACCCATGGTGGGTGCCTGCCATCCAAGGCCATGAAGGGAAATTCAGCTGCTAGACACCAGAACAACATGGGCTCCAGAAACGCACCCAATGCAGGCCTGACTCTGCTCTCACTGATACAACAGAGCTGGGGTGAATGATTAGCTCTCAAGATGGCCCCATGAACTCCTGCTTTGTACAAGGAAGCCACAGTGTCCTTTGAAATTGAGAAGTTTAAAGACATGGTCCTTCTGGCTCCTGAGTTAGAAAATAGCCCCACCCAAGGCAGGAGGGAAAGACTACTCACTGCCCGTTATCGATGTTTGTATTCTGGACGAGATTCTGAGCAGCGATTTTCATCAGGTTCTGGAGTGTGGGAGAAAGCAAGTGTCAGATAGTGCAAGGTAAACAACAGACTTTGACATTCCCTCCTCTGCTTGCTAGCTAGCTTTGAGAATGGAGTTTGGACTTGCTGCCACCTCTGCTGCACCTGGAGAAGCCGCATTTGGGACTCATGCAGCTGTCACAAGAACCCTGGCTTTGGCAGGAAACTGCCATTAATATTACACACAACACTGCACTGCAATCCTCTAGGATTTCAAAGCAAATTACAACAGTGGGCTGGCGCTAAGCTTCCAGTCATACAGATGGGGAAACTGAGACACAGATTCATGACACCATTCAAAAGGTCATCCATGTCACAGCTGTGAAAAAGACTGAACTACCAAAGTCCTCTGCTTTTACCACTAACCATCACTCCCCCATCCAAAGCCAGAAATAAAAGACTCCTGATCCCTAGCTGTGTGTTCTAACCACTAAATGCCAATCAAAGCATTTTACAAGTAAAAACCTCTCCTCCCCATCCAGGTGGTTAGTATCAGTTTCCTTGTTTGAAAAAGCAAGATACAGTTAAGAAGGGAATACACTTACAATGCTATTCTGGTGGATTTGTTAACGCCATTTACATCTACAAACCCTTTCAGTCATGTCAAGAATGGGAACCGGACCCAAACTTAATCCTGGAATTTGCGGAGTTAAATCAGGTCAGTGAGGTATTGACAAGAATCCGGGCCAAAGTTCTGTTCCGTTTTATTTGAACGTTGCAATTTCTGGCATGTTGACATTACAATCTAACCCAGCAATGAGTCATTTACCAGAATCTCAGTCACACATTGCTTATGACATGACACACAGATTCTGGAGTGGTTTCATTCTCCACAAATAGACACAGGAGAATGATGACTCACTTGTTTCAGAAGTAAATATTTTGTTTTAAATTGTTTTTAATTGAACCCATTTTAAAAAGTCCCGTGACTCTGGCCAATAAATTCCTTGACTCAGACTGGGGCTGAGAAATAGATGTGAAATCTCCCGGTAGGTTGTTTTTTTTTTTTAAGCCACTCTCAGAATGTAAGCCTGGAACTGAAACGTGACATACAGCGTTCTCCCATGCAAAGGCTCTGCTCAGGCAAATAAAAGCTGCCTCAACCTTCCCCTTTTAATCTCGCTGTTCAATGTCAATACACAAGTTACAGCTTTAGAAAATGAACTTCCATTTCTTGCTCAAAGCATGAGAAATTGCCATAGGCCATTTTAAGGTACATCCACTAGCACCAGAGATGGTAGCCACTGATATAAACAGGGCAGATCACCCACATAAGAATGGCCAGACAAATGGTCCAGCTAGCCCAGTGTCCAATCTACTGACAGTGGCCAACGCCAGGTGCTCAATGAACAGAACAGGGCAATCATCGAGTTATCTGTCCCGTCATTCAATCCCATCTTCTGGCCATTAGGAACGCCCTGAGTATGGGGTTGTGTCCCTGACCATTTTAGCTAACGGCCATTGATGGACTGATCCTCCAGGAACTTGTCTAATTTCTTTTTCACACCAGTTACATTTACAGCCTTCCCAGGATCCCATGGC